GACCACAGCTTCCATCGGCCATCCGCGCGCAGTCAACCCAGAAGGGAGGGCCATCCGCATAGAGTCAACCCAGAAGGGAGCAGGAGACCCAACGGCGGCAACCGAGCAACCAATGAACAACAGCAAGTCCTGGACAGTCTGGACAGCTCCCTCTCCAGCTCTTCGCGTTCCCAGGCCTGATACGCAGCCGCTTGACTCTGCAGGAGCTCAGCCTCCTTCTCCGCGTAGGCTGCCGTCTCAATCTCCCTCTTAGCCTTGTCCACTTCGTTTGACCCCTGGCCCTCCTCCGGTGTAGTCGCAGGGGGAGATGGTGATCCTTCTGGCAGGCATCCTTCATCAGCCCGCGCCGGCATTTCTCCGCTGTCGCTCTCAACCAGAGGCACTGGTACGACAGCAAGAGGAAACAGTGTCCCTGGCAGGAAGAACTCCAACTCGTTCCCCCAAGAGCCAAGCCATTGCTCGTTGGCTGCTTCAATGGGAACACCCTCTGGTACTGCATCCAACATCGCCACCAGGAGAGCCCGAAGTTGCTCTCTTCTAGTTTCGGCCATACTCCAGGGCTCGCAGGCAGGCAAGGCTTGTCGGATGCGCCTTATATCTGCCCACCTGCTGGCCGGAGTCTGGGAAGACAGTTCCTTCTGAAGCCTCGCCAAGCAACGCTGCCATCTATCCTCATTTGTGTCTCTTCCCCCTGTGTGCAGATATCGTTGCATCAGCTCGTTCCCATCTCCTTCATCCTCTGGACCCTCAATCTCCACCTCCACCATTTCGTCCGCTGGGAGGTTGCTCATGAAGTCCGCCTGGTGCATCAGGTTGGAAACCTCTGCCATCAAATACCGAATCATCTCAATAAAGTTGGCAGTCATCACCAATCTGTTCTGAGACGACATCCTCCGGAAGTGATTCTGGATGTCACGCTGCATGTGCCCCGGCAGGAAGGGCTGTCCTGCGCCAATGACCCTCGTTCTCGAAGGCCACGACTGTCTGTCCACTCCTAGCAGGTATCTCCACAGATCAGTCGCCTCGTCTCTGCTGAGCGGTTGTTGTAGGTCACGTGCAGGAGGCGGGGGCGGGTCAGTAGAACTCCCTGCTCCACTATGACCAGAGCCGGAGCTCGGTCTCACACTGGTTCTGACTGTAGCACTGCCTCCCGAGTGGCTGTGTCGGGCACCTTCGGAGTGGCTCGCGGCACTTCCCGAGCCTCTCTCAACCTCCCTAGGAGTGTAGCAATCTCTCGGGTCACCCAGGTAGCGGATAGACTCTGTCACCCGGACATGCGTGGAGCCTCTGTCCCTGCCTGGAGTCCTGGACCGTCTTCTCGGCCTAGCTCTTCGCCTCCCGGACCTTTCCCTGTGTCGCTCCATGAGGTGAACAGCGTCCCGTTCTGCCCCTCTACGAACTCCGAGGTGGTCGGCGCAATAGCATTCCCATAGTAGGTGCTCGACATCCTCAGCCCAGATGCGACCTCTGCTGGGATCAAGTTCCGGTCCCCCGGAGGTACTCTGATCATCCTGTTCCACACTGGTAGTCACAGATCCCATCGGGTTACGAAACCACTCGTCATAGCCATGGTCATTCCTACGACGGGCAAGCCCCCTCAGAACATCCAGAATGGGTGTGACTCGTACCCCCCTATGCTGCCATTCAGTCAGCTGTTCCATAAGCTGCCTCCATGTAGGTCGCACTCTCAGCACCCCTTGGACCATAGAGGTACCCTCATCGTCCTCATTCTCGGCTTCAGCTTCATGATGTGGGCCTTCTCCACCAGTGCCACTTTCCCTGTCTTCTGCTGCTGTCCCTCCCGCTCGATCAGGTTCATGTACACCTTCTCCCTCGGTATCAGCGCCGGGGCTTGCTCTGGCGACCAGGTGGCCAAACCCCATACGTTCCATCTCACCCCGCGTACTCCACGAGCCATTTGGCCACACCCAGGCGGCATGAAAGATGCCATAAGGTGTGTCCTCCGGAGGGTCCAGTGCCACTTCCCTGCGGACTGGAGCATGGTCTTCCGTGCGTGGTCCGCCAGTGCTTGCCGAAGAGGCGTCTCCTGACCTTTGAGCGTCCACCCACATCATGCCCACCTCATTCGCAACCCGGGTGGCCCAGTCGTTGGCGACCGTGTCCGCTGTTTGGCGCCCCACCGGTTCCGCATCTTCAAGGGTCCATACTCTCTCCATGAGCTCTTCGGCGAAGGGCACAATGTCAGGCCCGTGGGTTCGGCAAAGCTGAAAGAACAGGTGTCTTCTCGCTTCCGCCCGAGCCCTATGCGTGCGTAGTCCCGCCAATTCCGTAGACACCCTCCCTCTCCATTCCCTTGTACGCCTGCGCCTCTGTTCCTCTTGGTCCCCCTCACGGCTGGCCACACTTTTGCGCTTCTGGGTCAGCGACGTTGCATCCCCCTCCCCTTCCTGTCCAGTTGGCCTCTGCCTCTGTCTTTGTCTTCTCTGCGGGGACCTGGACCGAGACAACATTCGACGCTCTTTGTCCTCCTCCCAGGGTTTAGGGTTTAGGGTTTAGGGTTTAGGGCCTACGAGACCTAAACCCCGAAATGTGGCCTGAACCTTAACCCCTTTTTGACCCCAGACACTACGCTCTCGAACAGCTAAAGCTCAAAATCATCAACCTCAGACCCACCCGACTAGCTTTTCGCCCCTTAACACAACGATGAAAGTCGCAACCAGAGAAACACGCAGGAAGTATAGAAACGACGGTCGTGCTCGACAGGGGTATAGATGATCAGATCAGTGGCAACAATCGCGATTTGGGCGAGGAGAACCATGGACATGATTAAAGCCGTTGCATCAAGGCACATCAAAGAACCAGCAGCGAAAAGCGGACAGCGGTTGCACGCTTATCATATTGCTCGCCGTATATGTGGAGAAGACGAAACCAAATCATGTAAGCTTTAACCCCACTTGAAGCACTTCAGGGGGGTAGATTCCGGACACGCCTGCCAACAGCAGGATATCGTTGGGCCGCCGTGGCCACTCCCGGATAACATCCATGTTCTCCCTCGCCAGGATTTATTCAGGTGGTGGAAATAGGCACAGTCTTGACATGGGTACAACTTGTCATGTCCTTGAATTAAGATGCAGGAGGCAAGGCTCAGGTGTCACATGACGGAAGTACAAAGTCATAGAACGAATGAGGACACCGAACATTTTCGACATGGACATCTTCATGCACTTCAGTCCACGCCTCTTGTCCGTATGGATGTCCGAGACGGCGTAAACTCCAAACCGACGTGCCCCCGCTGGGCCAGCATCTGAGGTGGCATCCGGGAGGCTGTCAAAGTCGAACATGGCAACAGAGCAGGTCGGGACGTGGACGCGCGGCCACACCAAAGCTACAAATTCCTGATTTAAGGTACCAGTACTGGAACCAAGTAGAGTCTTAGAGGCCTCAATTAAAAAAATTAGATTGGGTACAACATAATTCTACGGATCATGAGGGAATCGTCTTTCTAAGCATTACGACCCCTTTCTCTAATCCTAAACGCTCAGACATGGCCTATGCAACCCGGTTAAGTCCGCAAACCGCCTTGCTCGAAAGCTCCATGAAGTTCGTCTTGAAGGGTCTGCGTTTCGGGTTTAACAGGGTGTTTAGGGTTTTGGGTCGAGGGTTTACGGCTTTGTTGACACTTGAGCTCTAAGGGTTTAGGGGTTTTCCAGCCGAGTAAGAAGCTCACAGCGATTACCAAAGCAGGCGAAACGAGACGTAGATGAGTTCAGATTCGGAGAAGAGTCTGCTAAGCCTGTTCTGAATCCTCTGAATCCCAAACCAACCCTAAACCCTAAACCCTATTCGCTCTACCCTGGAGTTCTGAATCCTCTGAATCCGAAAGCCCCCGACATGGGCGAGCTAGTCAGCTGCAGCCAATGGCTGCGCGGACCCTTTGCCAGGGCAACTTCGCTTGCAAGGCCAGAGCTGGGTTCAAATTCCTCCTACGGCCTGGGTTCAACTCCTATTCAACGCCATCCCGGAACCATGGGACAGCTCGCAAACACAAAAGGTGGTATGGCAGAAGGATACAAAACCTTGGCCTGAAAATCTGAATTGAACTTATGTGCCTAAACCCTATAAACCCCTATAAACCCTAAACCCCTAACTCCTTAACCCTAACTAGTAAAACATGCTCTTCCCAGTCCAGCACCCTTCAGAACTGCAGCCCATAGCGCATGTGACACGCAGGTGTTGCCCGCTTTTGACACACTCAGGCTTCGCGTTTCGGGCTTATGGTTCAGGGTTTAGGGCTTAGGATTTAGGGCTTTAGGGTTTAGGGTGTAGGGGTTCAGGGCTTAGGGTTTAGGGGTTTAGACTTCATTTATCGCTTGATGGCGCGACCGCCAAGAAACGGATGTGACCACGCCGCGGCTTCACAGAACCGAAGCCCGACAATCTTGGGCAAAAGGAGCCCAGAAAACCCGAAGTCCCCCACTGAATAACATCTCTTCAAACCATAACGGGCTCAAGCTTATGATTTTAGCGATACTCCTCTGTAATAAGGCGACATCATCTTGTGACTTTTGGTGCATTCCGGGGTGTGGGGCTCCTAAACCCTAAACCCTAAACCCTCAACCTCCTAAACTCGCAACCCTAAACCCGAAACCCTCAACCTCCTAAACTCTCAACCCTAAACCCTCAACCTCCTAAACTCTCAACTCTAAACCCGAAACCCTAAACCTCCTAAACTCTCAGCCATGCCAAGCTTCAGCTTGTCCGGCTGCCGCCGCGGGGACTGCAGGGTCGGGAGAGACACGGGAAACATCAGCAGCCCGGACCCGCCTTGCACCCTCAAATGAATAAGGAAAAAAAGGTGATGATATAAATCCTCCTGCATTTCCCCATAGATAAGGAATAAAAACCATAACTTCCATAGTTTATCTTAAGGTAATGCAGGATTTATATCATCAACAGTGTGGGCTCAAATAGTGGAGGAATTCCAAAACTAGGGTATACGCTCTCGCTGCTCGGACACTGCCAAACGAGATCTTTTTGGGCCGGAACATGTCGGAGCAGTACCGAACCAGAGTTTACCTGTCAGGAACAAGTCGGCGTGAAACGGAATGAGGCCTCCCGTTACTCACTAGGGTTTAGGGTGTTTCCTGGGCGTGCCCCCTACCTAAACCCCCAAAAGTAGGTAAAATAATTTCCCAAAACCCATAAAAGGCTATTATTCTACATACTTTTGGGGTGCAGGTAAACCCTAAACCTAATGGGGCCTACGTTTCGTACTCTCGAGTGCAAAGTCTACCGAAGACCTGGCCCCCGCAGCCGGAGCCCCCAGAGAAGAAACAGAATGTCTGTGACGACCTCCTGTTTTACACTTACCTAGACCCCAAAGAACCTACCTTTTTAAGGACCTATACAAGGAAATCATAATAATATTATAAGGAACCCTAAAAAGGTAGGTTCTTTAGGGTCAAGGTAGGGTTTAGTGGTTTAGTGGTTTAGGGTTTAGGGCACAATGTGGACCCTGGCCACAAACCCCCCCCTTCCTTCCCGAACACTCCGTCTCTCTGTGTGGCTGCCTCCTCCCGAGCTTCCAGAAGCTCTGCGTCGAATCCGATGCAGTCGATGGCATCCAGAAGGGTCTCTACCGGCACACCTGCCGGGCAAATGAACACGGCCGACACTACGATGGCTCCATATACAAGACTCGAAGTGGTTCCTATGGAGCAACTTTCGGCTATGGCAAATGTACACCCTGCATAGTGCATAGGTATATGGACCTCTAGCATTAGGGATCTTGTTTGTATGGCGAGAGGTTGAGCAGAAGTGCGTGATGGATGAACAGACCTGACCTCAAGTGCCTGACAAGGCCCGTCATGCTCTGCATAACACCGTTTTCTTCGCCTTGGTGGGTGACCTCGGCCCTCTTCATGAGGAGGTTCACCTCAACGACTGCGGCTTGCCGGTCTAAACCTTCCGTGGAATTTGATTGGCTTTGCTGAAGGTCCCACAGGTGCCATGTCAATGCTACTGATTTGTGATATGTGACTGAGGCATGTGGGCTTCGGTTTAGACGAGGGCTTGTAGAGCGTTGGGCATCTTTCATCTTGTGTTTGCGTGGCATGGGAGCGAGTTGAGGAGGCCACGGACAGCTAACCAATTAGCCTGCAGTCTAACTTCGGCGACGGCGTCTTGATGCTGCATGGAGCACTCTCAAAGCCACAGAGCTGAGTCAAAGCCTTCGTGATGTGCGGCTGCTTGTTTCCACGGCTCACAACATAGTTCAGGTAACCGCGCCCTGAACACGGCGAGACTTAGTCGCATGGGCCTATGATCGAGCCTTCGGGTTTGGGGTTTAGGGTCCAGGGTTTAGGGTTTGGGTTCATGGGTTTAAGGTACCTCAACATCCGAGTCACAGAGGCATCGGTCACGCCTTTCACGCCCCGCAAGGCGTTTTCCACAGTAGCCACACAAGCAGAGCAAGTCATGCCTGCATTCTCCGGACTTAGGGCTCATAGGGCTTATATGGGCTTGATGAAGTCGTTGAATCGTGCCAGGCAGTTTTGGACTGAAAGCGCTTGTTGAAGTCGTGAGGGGTAGGGGGAAGGGCTGAGTTTCACGGGCAGCTTGCGGACGGTGATTGGGTGGGTTCCGCAGAGAAAATGCACAATTTCCCACACCAGGCTCGGAAATCGAGTCTAAACTGACCCCGAGCGAGGTAGATGAAGCAGCCAACTGATGAATCCAAGAAATCGCCTAAGTCCCATATCCGAAGCCCTGCACAAACACCCCGTACCCCACCCAAATCGGTCGATGTTGACATGTTACCGGAAGCCCTAAACCCTAAACCCCTAAACCCACAAAGACCCCCCACCTTCCACCTGAATGGCAGCGACTGCACCGCCCTTGACCTCGGGAGCTTCCGGTGCGTAGTCGTTGGGGCCGTAATAATTAGAATAGGGTTTTGGGGGGTTCTTTATATATAAGTTATAGTATAATGGGCCCCCAAAACCCTGTTCTAATTATTAAGGCCTCTATATTTGTAGTTGAGGTGTTCGGTTCCACCCGATTCAAGGGGTTTCGAACATTCATAATAATGGGGTGATATACGGGTCCTATGTAAGTAAGGGCCTCTACTTGGAGGTTCATAGTCCCCTACTATGGGTTATAACTGTAGTTACCCTACTTAGAACTCCACTTATAACTACCCCTAAACCCTAGACCCTAAAAGCCCAACAGAACCCTTTAAAGGAACCCTTAAAGGAACCCCATAACCCCCCCCCCCCCCATATAACCACCCATGAACCTGAAAGTATGTGAGACCCAGAAGTTTAGGGGCTCAAGAGCTTTTGGGGTTTAGGGTTTAGGCTTTAAGGCTTAGGGTTTATAGGGTTTAGGGTTTAGGGCTATTTTTTCCCTCCCACCTAGCTTGGACGAGCCCGCATTGCAGGGTATGTTCGGATATGTCTGACTTGCAAAGATGGTATGCTTTAGGGTTTACGCTCTCACAACTCGGACTAGGGATTTAGGGTTTAGGGTAGGGGCTCCAGAGTTTAGGGCTCGAGACTTTCAGGATCCTGGGCGGCTCTTACGTAGTTCTCGCAGCTCGGGAGCAGCATGCGAGGATTTCAGGCGCAGTTACCGGGCTTTTTTTTTTTCCACCCGCTTCGCTGACTAGGTCGCACTGCAAGTTACCGGGTTAGGGTTCAGGGTTCGGGTTTCGGGTTTGCGGTGGGTCGGGCTCCTGGATAGAAAATGGAAAGTAAGGAAACAGAACAAACAAGACCTGCGTTAGAGGGATTGGGTAGACTTGTCCGCTTGGTGCTAGGACAAAGACTTACATGAGGGACCATCGAGGATGGGGCCGGATGGGGACAAACTTAGTGACAGGGAGATCACGAGAGAGAGAGAGAGGGAGAGAGACAAATGAATCAATGTAGAGAAATAGAAAGATAAAACGACAGAAACATAGATGGACAGAAAAATAGATAGAGAAGTGATAGACAGATAGAGAGAGATGGAGATAGAGATAGAGAGATCGATAGATAGGTAGAACTTACAGGGTTTACAGTTCGGGGTTCCGCAGTAGGACTTTAAAGGAGGCGGTGCGCCTGAGTTCCCAGAAAGTTTTTGACTACACTGTCACTGGCATACCAGGTAACCTGAACACAAACACGCACACACACACACACACATGCATGTATAATATACCTCGGCTACCCCGCACGTGGAAGCCCCAGCAAGCACAGAATCAGCGTCCAAGGCTCCCTGCTCCGTTTGATACAAAGAAGCCTCTATCCTACTCAAACGGATGAGTTGACCCCTCCAAAGATGAAAGGCCCGGATCCCAAAATCGCGAACTTGAACCCCCGCACCCTTGTCGTGCCTCGCGCATGACAAGCTCCTTCTGCAAGGTGGCCGGGAAACCCGCGCAAGACAAGGCGGATGCCAACCTAGGCTATCTGATTGTGTGCATGGATTAAGTCGTTTGGGCGACTCGGCATCTGTGAAGGGCATTAGCAGCAGATTGCTACCAGTCATAGGCGGAAGTTGTTCAGAGGCATAGTCATAGTCTGCAAAGCCTCCTGCCCTCCGACCCCGGATCACCCTAAACCCCAGAACACATGAATCGAAGGCCCTTCACATCCTATAAACATAACATCCTGAAAGCCCAATCATGGCCTGAAGCAAGCGAGCAGCTTTGAGGCATCCATTAAATATATAACCTCCCTGAAACTCAACAGCAATGCTTAATTTGCATCACTTGCAATGAGGTACCTAAATCCCAAATGCCCCTCAACTCATTCAGAGGATGGTGGAGCCTCTTTTGCTGGGAAGATGAGCTCTGCCCTGCGACCGAGGCTCTTTTCCGGTGCGTCCGTCATCTCCACCTCTCACTTGTTGTGTTCGGTATAGGGTAGGCTTCTTAAGGATTGAGGCGATCAGGGTATTGAAAAAAGAGAGTTTAGTGCAGTGTTGCAGCACTCACAACCGGGACAAGCTTTTCGTGTAGTGTTTAGGGTGGTGGGTTTAGGGGGGGGTTGTGGTGTGGGCCGTTATTGTGTGCATGGTGGCTCTTTGGGTCCCTAATTCGATCGGTGTTGACTGCTTCAAGCACATGGCTTGTCTCGGGGCTGAAAGACATGCAAAGTGTCTTGCATTCAGAATTGTTCAAAATGCCGATGCTACCTTGCTGTGACACCGCAGGTTCTCCCTCGGCCTCTATCATGCCCAGGAGTTCCTGCAGGCCGATGAGTCTTCCGCCTGTCCACGCTGTTAACTTTAAGGGGGCTCAGGGGAGCATGAGACCAGCTCCTGTACAGAGAAGAGGCAAGGAACGAGGACGGTGCGGGTAGCGACAAAGCAGCAAAAAACGGACGAAGGTCCCGATGAGAACAGTAACAAGTACACCCTCCTCACCAAAGCTGTGCCCCTCATCACACACATTGCTCGCGTATGTAAGGATGCAGAAAATTGCCTGTATAGTTTTGTTCAGGTCCTGCGACTGTACAAACAGCACCATGCCATCACCACCCATCATCACTGTCGTCGATACAATCACCACCGTCACGAACATCGTAGGCATGAACGAATCCAGAATTGTCACCACCACTACCATCATCATGATCTCCTTCTTCTCCTAGCATCACCGAACGCTCCATCATCATCATCATCATCACCACCAGGGAAGAATACCATCATCATTGTCATCAGCATCATTACCAACATCATGCTCACAACTGCCCTCATGATCGTGAGCCCTGCCAGCAAGCATCAGCCTGACGATCCTCACCTCTCTGCTAGGATGCGTTCCCGGAAGCTCACATACTCGTTCGCAGAAGCCACCGCCATGTGGACCCGCTGCGCCTACGAACTTGACGACCTCCCGCAACAAGTGCTTCTCGGAGTGATCCAAAGTGTGAAGGTTCCTCGGCAGGATTCCGGTGCTAGAGGCCTTGAGGCTGGCAGAAAAGAGGGTCTGCAAATCGGTCCTGCAATCTTGACTGGCAGTTTTCTACAAATCCAAAAGAGCCTGCAAACGTCAAAGTCAAAGCGACGTAGACCCCGCGACAAACCAGGTCCCTTCTGAGCACACCCCGGACCCCTTTTTTTGCATCCAGGACTCTGTTCGCCCACCCCGGACCCCTAAACCGCTAAACCCGCCAACAATATCATGTGACATTCTCTTATATTCGATTCGATCCTATTATGTCATAGAGCATTATATTCTGCTATATCTTGTTATGCTATGTTACATTGCCTTACATTGCATTATAAACTATGTTAGATTACACTATATTATATTGTACCATATTAGAATATAATCCTATACATACGTACATACATACATACATGCATCCATGCATGCATGCATGCATATAAATATATATATATATATGTATATATGTATGTATGTATCTATTTATTTTAACCTATTTATACATACACGTATCATAAGCCTTCATAATAGGGCCTTCATATGAAAACCACCCCGTCCGAGACTCTGGAGCTTGAAGGTGAAGCGCCCCAGGGGTAAGGAGTTTGGCTGTAGGTTCAGTGGGCGGCCTTGGTAGGGCTTAGGGAGTTTGGGGCTTCTTTGTTTTTGGGGTGCGGGGTAGGGTGTTAGGGTTTAGGAAGTTTAGGGTGTTAGGGTTTAGGAGGGAGTTTAGGGTTTCAAGTCGGGCTGGTGATTCCCTTGAAGGCTTGTGGGGTTTACCTCTTGTTCTTTCGGCTCAGCGTGTAGGGGGTCTTCTTTAGGCCTTGTGGGGTGTAGCCATTGTTCTTTAGGCTCCCGGTTGAGGGTAGGCTTGGTTTTCTCTTAGGCTTCGGAGGTTGAGTTGTGTTTAAGGGCATGTTTAGCTTACTTCCCCAATAAGCCATGGATATAAACGGCTAAACTTTCAGACTACTACACTAAATGATGGAAAACCCCAAAAAGTTGAAAGGTTGGGTATTGGGGCACTAAGTTAGGCTCCCGCAACTCGGACAAGCCAGGCGAGGATCCACAGGAACAGCTGGGCGTGACACTAAGACGTGCCCTTGCCCATGTTTAATACAGGAACCTGAATAGTTGGAATAAGGTTTTGGGGTATATTATGCTCTAATTACAAGAAGGAACCACCAAAATATTACAGGCAATTATATTAAGGCCTCTCTAGTAGGGTTTGGAGACAGGGTGCTTCAAGCTTGGGGTTTCCAATGTTGTGAACAAAGCGACCTACAGGGCAAGTAAGGGTTTTTTTCCCTCTCGCATGGCTAAGGATCTATGCCCACAAGCGAGGATACAAGTAAGGGTTTAGGGTTTAGGATTGCGAAAGTCGCAGTTCAAAGCTCTGGAGGCCCCAAGCACTAAGCTCTATGTAACACCTCGACACCATGCTGCCACCCAGAACAGGCACCAGAGTTTCATATAGGAGCCGCTAAATAATTTAAAATCAAAAATACTATTCGCAGGGCTCCTTGTTATAACTATAGTATAATGGGCCCGAAAACCCTATTCTAATTTCTAAGGCCCCTATATTAACAGCTCGAGCTTTGGGAATCAGAAAAGCCAAAGCCTCAAAAGACCTTGGGCTCCACCTTCTAAAAACTGCTAACCGGTTTAGTTTGTTTGTTAGGGGGTTAGGGTTTAGGGTGTAGTTTTTGTTTGTTGAGGGTTTAGGGTTTAGTTTTTTGTTTAGGGTTTAGGGAGTAGGGTTAACGGTTTAGGGTTTAGAGTTCAGGGTTTAAGGTTTATAAGGTCTAGAACGCATCCACTGTGACTTGTCGGGAAACCCCGAAGCTAAGCCAACAGCCGGCAAAACAGATCTCGATTCTGAGGAGATGTCAATGGCAGCCGCCCTGGGGACAGCGGCACCAAGGAGAACCGCACCTTGCTCCCAAGACCCCGTGGGCATATCGCCCGCGGAGGAACCCAAAGGCTCCAGTTACCTAAATTGTACATAATATATGGTGAGTAACCCACTATTTAGGTACTTGGAGCCCTAGGGGAAGAGTCAAGGCAGCGAAACAAAGGAAGAAGTTGACGGCGAAGAGTATGATGGTGCTGCCCGGTAGTGGAGATTCTGCTAATGATGCGGTTAGCATGTAACTAACCCGTTCAGGTCCTCTCAACTCTTCGATCTACTGACTACGGGTGGTCGAAACTTACGGTTAAGGGCTTTTGGTTTAGGGTTCGGCCACAAGGTGGATTTGCGTGGGCTGCAGCTGAATTGTGCGCGAGCCCCCAGGCGAAAGAAACAACGCTGCAAGGGTCACTTGGACCCCGGCTGCTTGCAAACCTGGGCTGAGGACGCTGTATGATCATATCCGTATAACTAAAGAATAAAGAACCAAGGAAGACTATCGGCAATTATTCCCATCCCTATATTGCCGGTGTGGAGGTGCGCTTGTGTTTTTTTTTCTAGGGTGGTGTCAGTCTGAGTCGGTTTAGGGTCCTACTACAGCGGCCGACGAATTGGTCAACAGTACCCAGCATCCCCTGATGCTCCATATGAGTAAGTCTACTACTATTAAATACATCAAAACCCTGTTAGAATTAAGGCCCCTTGTATTACTTCATCATGGGACTTACAAGTGGGAGGCAGGCAGTGTCAGAATCGTAGATCTCCCACAACTGTGCTTTTCCATGGTAATTTACGTGCTGTGTGCCACGACGCCGACGAATGCCGGTGGTGGAAAAGTCGCTTACTAAAACTCCTTGCAGATTCTTGGTAGATAGGTTGGTTAATATGGGGGCGTCGAGAATTAGAACAGGCCTGACTGTATATTATACAACAAGCAACCCTAACGAAGGAATAGAAACTATTCAGCCGTCTCTGTAGTATTGTAAGCTTAGACTAGCTTGAAGACCCTTGTGCGGAGCGGGTGTAGGTGAACTCTGCGGCCCAGGGTCGACCAACCGTCCAGATTTCACGCGGCCGTTGTGCACTCCTTCAGGGTTTACCCAGAGCTCCATAGTAGTTCCTTTTTGGGATTACCTTATAGGATCCTAAATAGAAACTCTAAAAAGGAACTACTATGGAGCCTCTGGGTAGGGCTTGAGGGTCCTCTGGGAGGGAACGGTTCAAGTACCCCCTAGCAAGTCCTGTCTCATAACCCGAAACCCGGAAAATCACGCAGCCGTGGCGTCAGACAGCTCCGAACGTACCGTTGTCTTCCTGAAGTCTTGCAATGTCATGTTTGTTGACACTACTGTACCTGGACCCAAGAGTATGTAGAATAATAGCCTTCTACCGGTGCTGGGCCATCATTTTGCCTGCTTTGGGGGTTTGGGTAGAGTCCAAAGCGGCCAGTCTTCGAAAACATGTCCCGCAAAGTCACTCCACAAGTCCCTAAGCCGGGATGACTGCAGCTCGCCATATAGATCCTAGGACGAAAATCTGAAGCCTCTTCTTGTCGAGAAGATGACCCGACAGTCAGCATCCTTGGCCCTCCAGCATTAAGCATCGTCAAAGCCCAGGGCTAGGCGGCTAGAGCTTTGCCCGTTTTGTGGAAGCATTACCCCAAAACCCAAAACCCTAAACCCCAAAACCCTAAACCCTTTTTGGGGTTCTTGCTCTGTGTCTTTGGAGTCGCCCCAAACTCACAGAACTAAGGCTGCTAAGGCTAAAGAGAAAGGCTCGAGAAAAGATTGATGACCCCTAAACCCTGAACCTTAAGCTTACTGGTCCTCGCTCTGCATCATCCAACTGATGGAGCAGTGGCTGCCCGAGCATGGCTCGAAAGCCCCTAAACCCTAAACCGGCGGATGCTCTGAGGGCTGAGTTGAAGAAACCCTTCGGTTTGCATTCAGGGCCTGGTTCCCTAAACCCCGTAAACCCTAAACCCCTAAACCCTAACTAAACTCCTAAACCCTAGACCCTAAAGCCCCAAACCCTAAAACCCTAAACCTATACTGTACCGCTTGGAGAGCTGTCTGCAAGCCGAACTTGTTGGTGCAAACTTTCCGTTTTGGGGGTACATGCAAGTGTGGGCGTAAGGCATTCGTGCACAAGAAACATCTGATCCAGAGGCGACTGTTGTTGTTGTTGTTGTTACTACTGCTACCTCTGCTCCTAGAAATCCTGCACCTCCTGCCTCCTCCTCCTCCTCGTCTTCCCCATTCTGCTCCTACTACCACCACCGCGACGGCTACTACTACATCGTCACCATCGTCATCGTCAAGAACCATCCTCCTCGTCATGGCCCTATGCACAAGCAGGACCAGGAACAACTTAAATGCTCATACTGACTGATGGATAGGTTTCATTTTGCCATTAAGCTTTGGGATGTCCACCTAGAATTCCATCGGGGCACTTCGACAAAATTCAATCGGAAGGTTCTCTCCCCAGACTTCGTGTATGTGGGTAGTTCTTTAAACTAGGGTCCCTTTTAGGGGTCCTTTTTAATAAGGGTGCCGTACTATATCTGGGACCTAAAAAGGGACCCTAATTTAGAGAACTCCCCGTGTGGCTGCCGAGTCTGAGGGCAGTCTGCCCCCTGGTTCTCGTGTGCAGCGGTCTCGAAGCTAAGAGAGATTGCGGTGCCCGAAGCTACATGGCCCCCGCAGGACCCGCCTTTTCATCCCCAAGAACCCCTTGAGCTGAATGACCCCTAAGCCCCCAAAGCCGAGGTTCAAAATCCGGACAAGCGAAGAGATTTGGGCAAATTGGGGACTGGCAGAAGCAGAGGCTGCTGAGCAAAGCGCATTCGGATGCAGGGAGTGGTTCACCACCTCAAGCAAGGCTTAT